ACAACGACCCCCATAAGTAGATAATAGGGAATTCCCTATTATCTCCTTCTGATATATATATATATTATATATATTACATATTTGTGTAATTATAGATATTGCCCAATTCGTAGGTGACGATATTAATAGCAGTTACTATGTGCAGGTTGTATCAGATAGCTGGAGGATACAGTCGCGTATTGGAACAAGATACCGTGATTAGGGGATACAAGCTCCCTAAAGGGGTGAGAGAATAGTAAAATATGGTCACACTTAGCTAGACATGCCTACCTCTGGTGTTAATCAGCACTCAGCAGCCAATGAAAGCTAGTGTCATGATGTCAAATTAATCACATAGTGTGACACAAATGGTTTTATGAATGCGTAACGATGATACGATATATATTGCATTGTGTATCGAGAAGTTTTTAGTGGGTGAGATGCCTTTGAAATCCGAGGTTACTCCACCTGTGCTGCACTCTCATTTATTCCAATTATTTGTCATGCACGTGCAAAGTAACATATAATTAATAAGATCATTTTTGCATTTGTTTGTTTGTAAAATGCTTATTATTCATGAAATAACTTGCGTAAAAACTGCGTAGTATAAAAATGTGTTTTGCATGCGTATGCACAGACTGTAATAGCGGGAGCAACGCCGAATCTCTGCCGGGATTCAAACTACTTTGAGGATGCGGGGGAATTCAAGCCGGAGCGTTGGCTTCGGGATGCTTCCGGACGGAAGCAGGAGACTCATCCCTTTTGCATACCTGCCTTTCGGATTCGGCACGAGGTCGTGCGTCGGTCGCAGGTTCGCGGAACTGGAGATGCATCTTCTCCTGGGGCAGGTGCGTTCGTCTGTCCATCCATCTTAAGAAACGTGAATACAAGCACGCTCAATGAAGCTTCACTACAGGTTAAAGACGTAAAAGTGTAAAAAAAAATTCTCCTTGATAAGTGATGGCCAGTGTAGTGAAGGTATTATGGTTTTCTGGGTGAAATCGTGAATAATGTTTATAACAGATCTTTATCTTTGCAAGTTCATGGGCTTTCTGGCTGTTGGTTGGGGTGGGGTGCTTTTAGCAAGGTTAGACAGCAAGTAACATTAAAATACTTGATGAATAGGCAATAATATGATCTTTTCTTTTCCAACTTTCTTCCTGGAAATGTGTGCAGCTACTGTTCAGTTTTCGACCAGCAGATCTGCTTGTTCTCGAGTAATTGAAAGCCATCTTTTGTGATTTCCTTCTCTGCTTATATGCTACGCATGCCACAACTTGTACACCCTTATTCCCTCTTCCTTCTCTGACTATGCTACGCATGCCACAACTAGTACACCCTTATTCCCTCTTCCTTCTCTGACTATGCTACGCATGCCACAACTAGTACATCATTATTCCCTCTTCCTTTTCTGACTATGCTACGCATGCCACAACTAGTACACCCTTATTCCCTCTTCCTTCTCTCACTATGCTACCCATGCCACAACATGTACACCCTTATTTATCTCTTCCTTTTCTGACTATGCTATGCATACCTCAACTTGTACAACCTTTCTCTCTCCTCCTATTCTGCATATGTGCTACACATACCTCAACTTGTACACCCTTTCTCTCTCCTCCTATTCAACATATGTGCTACACATACATCAACTAGTACACCCCTATCTCTCCTTCTTGCAGCTGGTTCGGCAGTTCATTGTGAGGCCAGGCAACGCAGTGGATGTTGAGATAAGTCACACGCTGCTGCTCTATCCCAACAAGTCTGTTGACATCGAACTTGTCGATCGACAAACGGATGACAGACACAGCGCACAGATGCTTCACAACTGAGCTTCAGCGATTCACCTATAGTCCTGTATGTCTCAACGAGTGAGAAAACCACGGCTTTTACTTGAATATTGTTGCTAGTTGTGTTGAACGTAGACGTGGTATTTCAGGTTAACATACCAAAATTTTAGGCACTTCGTACGTTTCTACGCAGTGTTTTTAGAACGTCCATTCGCAAAAAAGATTGGCCTAGGCTGCCTGTTATTTACGTAAGTCGGATGGGTAAATTACCATGTTGAAGTAAATGATATACCTCAGCAGCACGGCTTTGGTTCGGATTAAATTCCGTGGCGGTTTTACGTGGACACATGTATCGACAAATCACGTTTGTAGTTGTGAGCTTTACTTGTCTTTATGCGTGTATAAATCACTGTCGCATAGGTCATTCCAAGGCTGTGTGATTCTGTAATTGGGAGATGAATGTGGTTAACTCGAACAAATTGTTTCGTTCAAGGTTTGTAGATCATCTTGATTCATTTATGTGATGTGTTGTTAATAATTAGCATTCTTTCCTTCGCGATACAACAAAACATTGTTTGTTTATAAAATTGCATTGTTGTTTGTGTATAAATTTATCCGATCCATCTCAGTGAGACAATCTTACCCCCTGCAATATTGCTGCTCGGTCAAGCTGGACTTGTTTGTATGTATTTCTCAAAAATCTTTGTGCATACACTCCAATATTTTAGCTTCGCAGCACGTCGTTGCAAAGCATTGTCTTATTATAATGTGGTATTGTAAGAGTGATGGGATAAAGCTGTTCGTTTATAATTTCAGGTGTTTTAGATCAATTGCAAACGTTACCCAGGGGGGGGGGCACTCCCTATATATATTGTATGGTAGGTATGTGCCGCGGGAGAGACCCTTCTTTTCACTTCAACATTTCCATTCCGGAGACCCATCTCTTCACATATTTTCCGTTCCGGAGATCCCCTTCTCACATATTTTTCATCCATTTTCCGTTCCAGAAACCCCCTTCTCACATATTTCCCGTCCATTTTCCGTTCCGGAGACCCCCTTTTCACATATTTCCCTTCCCTGCGCATATGTCCTACTTTTTTCCGCACGTTCCGGAGCCCCCTATTTTGATGTGCTGAGTTAGTACCGGAGCCCCCCAATTCTATCTCTCAAGTGGCACATACCTACCCTATTTTGTAGGGAGTGCCCCCGGGGTTGTGACAATCTTCCATATATAGCATGTAACTCCTATAGCATCCTATAGGTTGGTCTAAGGATTTTAATATCTAATAAATGTACTTATTTTAATAAAAAGTAGTGGTAAAGCCAGGGGCGTAAATCCGTACCGAGGAGTGGGGGGATGATCGGCGATAGCCGGGGGCGAAACTAACCTTGGTTGCCGCAAGCAGGCCCGCGTGCCGTAGGCATGGCAGTGGTAGGGGGTCTGGGGGCATGCCCCCCCAGAAAATTTTGAAATATTTAAGCCATTTTCCTGCAATCTGAGGCGTACTGTGGGCCATATTCTCATGTCTGATGACACTATCTCAACCCTAGACTCAACCCTACAAGTACTCTCTCTCTCTCTCTCATGATTGACTTAATTCTGTCTCTTTCTCTACTGTTTAAAAGTTTTACCATTGCAAATTGAAAAATCTTTTAGCACGTGCCAGCTAAACTTGATGTTACACTCTAACATTGGTTCTGCTTGATCACCAGTGTGTGCGTGCGTGCGTGAGTTCATGCGTGACTGTGTGTGCTTTATGGCCTTTCCGTTTGCGTGAGGTAACCACTCCCTACCCCCTTGATATTGTTGCTAGATCCATAAAACTCACCCAGTGTGTATAGTTTTTACCCTATGGTTTTCGCGCATAAATGCCAACATAATCTTTGCGACACTTCATTTCTCAGCATTGTCTTTAGAACATCCCAGTCACGGCTCTGATTGGCTACTGCTGCCAAGTCGGACGGTTTCGTCAATTACTCACACAGTCTCCAAGCAGGCACCAATGTCAAACAATATCTGAGTGGGTGTGCGCACGTTGTACGGGCGGATAGGTGAATGATTGTGGGTTCCTGCCTGTAGGGATGGTGAGAAGTGGCACGTGCAAAGGCGAGCAATCAGTCCATATATGATGCAGCCGCGCTACGTTGCAACCTACACGCATGACCTCAACGACACGGCTCTGGACGCTGTAGACCTGCTACGCCATGAGAGAGACACGCGAGGTGGCGGCAAGGTGGTGCCCCTCATGAGGGACCTCCTCTTCAGATGGGCTCTCGAATGTGAGCAACTTTTTTTACTTATGATTTCTTCATTTTGGTCATTGTCAGTGCATGAATTACAGGCAATTGTGTCTATCAGTAAAATATATGGGCAAGGCATGTGTATCAAAGGGAAATACACAAACAATATGGCAGCAATTTTGTTTAGATTGTGGTCCTATATTTAAACTTTGTGTTCAACAAAGCTGATGTTTTTCATGCAAATTACATTACAGAATTTAGACATTACAATGAAATCATAAAACAGGATAATGTTTCACGTTAATAGGGTGATTGCCAAAATTTTGAGGCAAAGTTGGTGTTTGAAAGGTCAAGCTGCGAAATAAGGAATAATGCTGAACCAAAAAACGAACTATATAATCTAAAACAGTTACTATAGTTTTAATATTCGTATAGGCTTTGGTCTGGACTGTGTGAATAAGTATGCAAACATGCAATATGTGGACTTTTGCCTTTTGGGCCCATTTGATATAAGTTGGTGACAATATTAACAACAATTAGTGCAATATATATATATTATAGCAATTAGTGACATATTGTATCTTCTCTGTTGTAGCAATCGGGGTGGTACTATTTGGCAAGCGAATCGGTTGTTTGTCACTAGAGGGCAGTACAGACCCTGACACGGATGCTTTCGCCCACGCTGTAAATGATATGTTTACGACGAGCGAACGAGTCGGTTTTCTTCCATTGGCGTTCGTAAAGATTTTCTTCCGTAAGGATTTTGCGAAGCACATGGCATGCTGGGATACGATCTACAGAGTGGGTATGTTGTCACGTTTTCATTGCAGCATTGTTGCGATTTATCCCAAAAATTGAATTGCGATTCTCATGTCTCCATTACAAGGTTTACAGTTTAAGTTTATTTAGTGCAAGGCACATGTTACTCTCAGTATTTGGGGCACCAAAGTTAGAAGGCAGGGGTCGAATTTTCGTTTTCTCTAGAGCAAGGCAATTGTGGCCTTGGTTTTAATTAGAAATATTAACGTACCACAGTACGTTAGATGGCACCAAGGCAAATATATCTATCATAGAAGAGTTAAGGTCATTTACATTTTAACAAAGCATTATAAAGGGGACCAACACCACCTTGAATTGTTGAGAAGGATAGTGAGGCTTGTCATAGAGGGGCGATGGCTGTTCATGCATGGGCAGCACAGTAAGAAGGGAGGGCAACCGTGGCACTTACCGGTCGCAGGTAAACTCATGCCCTCTGATCATCAAAACCTTTCTTCTTGTTCTTGTTTGCATGAATGCAGCAAAGAAGTACATTGATGCCCAGCTGAATGCGATTACGGAGGAGGGTAGTAAGGATGAGGAAGCAGGCGGGCTTGTCAGGCAGTTGGCTACGAACAAGGAGCTCACCATTAAACAAGTGTACGCCACCGCTATAGACGTCATGACAGGAGCTGTCGACACGGTAAGATGTAATCAAGGTATTAAACGTTGGCAGCAAAAGACAGGCGTGGCGAAAATGAAGGATCCAGTTCATCCGAACGTTGTAGTAAGGTCAGACTTGTGTTAGCTGACCACCTGTAGAACAAACCCTGCTTAAATTTTGGTCAGTGTTACAGTGAAACCATCTATATAGAATAGTCACCGGTCTGTAAAAGACACATAAGTTTCCCTTTAATATTTATATATTAATGCCTGTTGTTGGGGGCACTATGCTCTCATACTCATAGTGCCCCCAACAACAGGCATCAATGTTTTTAGTGCATCACATGCCTTTGCAATCTACTCGGCAAATAGGAAGTGAATAAGACAAAGTTTTGTATTAAAACATAATGCGTTATAATAACAATGCGTCACGCAAGCAATAGTACCTGCGACGTTATCCAATAGAATTTCAACGATTTATCATGTGATGCACTAATAAACATTGAAAGCACCACTGTAGAGTGAACACCAGTGTATAATGAACACTTGTGGCTTCTCTGCACAGACGGTTTGGACTGTACATTGTTCATATTCGCTTTCAGACGACGACCGCATTGCAGTGGTGCCTGTATGAGCTTGCTCGCAATCCAGATGTACAGGAGAGACTGTACGCAGAGTTGGTCAGGGTTGTCCCAGATGGCAGGCGGGAACAGATCACTCAGAAACACCTTATCGACCTTCACTATCTGAAAGCATGTGTTAAAGAGACCCTCAGGTAGATTTCATTCACTAGATTAGTTAAGGGGTCATAATTTATCGGGTTTTACTTCCATGTATAGCGCGCTTTTGTACTGCAACACTGATATTTACCTCCGCCCAACGGAGTTGGAGGAGGTTATGTTTTCGGCCTCATGTGCGTGTGTTAGTGTGTTCGTGTGATCACGCGATTGATATTAGCGCGTCAGCCAGCGAGCCAGCGAGCCAGCGAGCCAGCGAGTGTGTACATGTCAGCGAGCAGCAGGCCAGCAAGCCAGCGTGTACATGTCAGTACGCTGGCGTATATCGTGGGTTATTCGTGTGTTCGTGAGTCGTATGGCGTATGGCGTATGTTGTTGGCGGAGGTATGCACACTCCGTGAGTGCACTCTGTCTAGTTTATTATGTGTTTACATGGTGTTGTCAGTCAATATGTGTCAGTAATCATGTTCTGATGTAAAACAGCTGATGCTGTTTATGTCATGTTTGTTATTGTAAAGTTTCAGAGTTTGTAAGTGTGTTTCATTGTCTGCCGATTGTACGGTGTGTGTATATCTACTATATAAATTCATACATATATATATACATATATATATATATATATAT